TATATATATATATATACACACACACACACACACACATATATATATACACATACATATGTCTGTGTGTGTATAAAGACAGGGAGAAGCCATCTTGGATTCAGGTAAACATGGAATGTCTACATTCCCCTACAACAAGATAAATTAACCAAGTCACTGGAATTTCAAATGAAACAAAGTTAAAGTTGCAACAGTTTTGCTACACTTGCCTGCATGCTCTTGCAGTGCTACATGATAGTAACATTAAACACTTTATATTGGCATCACTTGATATTGATACACTTATTATGCAACACCCACAGACACACTTGAGTTGTATAATGTGGTTTTTTGTGTGTATGTTTTTTATGTGGGCAAGATGGCCCCTGTGTTTTGGCCATATGCTCAGCACATGGAAAGCTGGGGCCTGTATCTGGGAAAAATATATAAAACCTTCTGGCCTCACTGGCCAGGGGAAACAGGATTCTTCAGGCCAATTGTTTGCGGGAGGAACTGGAGTATGGTGCTCCCTAATGGTACAAGGCTAGAGTGATGTCATGCAAAGGGATACAAGGTGAGCTAAGCTGGTTTGGGGGTGGGAGTTGCTAGAGGCTGCTGAAGAGTGAAGTCTCCTCCAAGGGAGAAAGTTTTCAGAGAACAAAAAGGAAAGCTCAGGTAGAAGGGAGAGAGACATCTTCATCAGCAACTTGGACGAGGGGGTGGAAAGCACACTGTCCAAGTTTGCCGACGACACTAAGATGTGGGGCAAGGTGGACACACTTGAAGGGAGAGATAGGCTGCAAATAGATTTAGACAGGCTACAAAAGTGGGCAGGTGAGAATAGGATGGTGTTCAACATAAACAAATGCAGGGTGCTGCACCTTGGGAGAAGGAATCCACAGCATACATACAGGCTGGGGAGCTCCCCTCTTGAAAGCACAGAGGCAGAAAGGGATCTTGGAGTCATTACTGACTCCAAGATGAACATGAGTCGTCAATGCCAGACCGCAGCCAGCAAGGCCAGCCATACCTTGTCATGCATCCAAAGGTGCATCTCAAGCCGGTTCAGAGAGGTGATACTCCCTCTCTAAGTGACTTTGGTCAGGCCGCAGTTGGAGTACTGTGTCCAGTACCGGGTGCCGCACTTCAAAAGGAATGTGGCCAGCCTGGAGAGGGTTCAGAGGAGGGCCACCCACTTAGTGAGAGGGCAGCAGGACAGGCCCTATAAGGAGAGACTGAGGGACCTGAACCTGTTCAGCCTCAGCAAGAGGAGGCTGAGGGGGGACTTGGTGGCTGCCTACAAACTCATCAAGGGAGATCAACAGCAAATAGGTAGGGCCCTCACCACCTGGGGTAACGAGGAACAATGGTAATAAGCTGATTTTCGTGCCTGTGGCAGGGGGTCAGGCTAGATGATCTGTTCAGGTCCCTCCTGACCCTAGCTACTATCAAACTATGAGAGGGAGAACTGTCCCAGTGCCTGGGAACTCCTCTCTCCTCCTTTTTCTTTCCCTTTTTTGTTTTTGAGGTTTTAAGGGATTAATACTGGGGAAGAGTATTGGTTCCTTGGGTTTGCTGGCCAGGAGTTATGCCTGGCAGTTTAAACACAGTTGAAACCTGGGAGTTTCTAATCCTGTCAGTTTTGGGCTGGGGTTGAGGGTTGCAACTTTCTTCTTCCAGTGGAGTCATGACCCCAAACTAACTGCAACCCAGACCTAGAGAGTAGGCCTGGTCTCTCACCTTGTTTCTTTTGATGGTCCTTTGCTCTAGTCAAGCTGTGTGGTTGGGCCAGCTATACCAATTAATCAACCCGTCTCCTTTTGGAGTATTTCCTGCAGTTTCATTTTAACAGGCCATATAATCCAGCCCAGAAGTTTTGGGGTGCATCTGGAGCCACAGTCACTCCCCACTCCCACATACAGCCTCTCCAGGGGAGCAAAGATTGGCACGCTACCAACCATTCCTTCAAGAGCAATGAGCAGTCCCTTGCACCGCAGAAGAACCCACACTGTCTAGCAGTTTCCCCTGGCACAGCACAACCTATAGACTAGGTCTTGTAGTTAGTAGTGTTTTAAACTACAGTCAATGTTTTTCTCGGTTTTCTGTAATAAATCTGTCTTTTGCAAAGAGGGAGTTTTTGTTTATGTGGGACACCCTAGTAAATCACTTAGTGTTTTCCAGGTGGTCTGGGTAAGGTCTTCAGCAAGGAAAAATGTATTTAATACCCCAAAACTGAACCCAGCCCTTGCTGCTGCCAATCAGTGCCTAGCAGAAAGGTTACAATTATATCTGTTTACACTTTACAATAGGTAATTTCTTTCAAACTTAACTCTGATGCAATGCAACGTAATATAAAGAGCACTTCTCCATAGACCAGTGGTTTTCAACGCATAGAGGTCTGCAGACTATGTTTAAGGGGTCCGCAAAAGATGACTATGATTACGGTATTCACAAGTATGTGAATACCCACACTTACAATTCAAAGGGGTCTGCAGATCCTTTCCAAATTTCTAAAAGGGTCCACACTTCCATTCAACATTTTTTAGGGGTCCATGAAAATGAAAAATGTTGAGAACCACTGGCACAGACTGGCCAAGTCACTAAGAAGAAGGCAGACTTCTCAAATAAGAACTTAGATCAGCAAACCCAAACCTGTAGCATAACCACAGTATACTGTACTCTCAAGCTAAGGAATAAGACAGAATAATGTCATGTACCTTGATCTCTAGAGCAATGTAACTATGAACACCAGGCATAGAGGTGACACTTTTTAGGGAGGGGAAAACAGACAATTCCATGCAGTATAAAGCATGAAGTACCAGTATGAAGACTGGAAATTTTTAAACTCTTACTGTGTGAGAGGAATTCATACTTGCATTGTTTTCAGACATATTTGCCTAGCCTGGGTGGATGTATCCAGATTGGTTTTACGTAGGTATAAAGTATGTGTGCATGTGCTAACATGCATGCATGTGCGCATGCAAGAGGAAAAGAAACAAACAAGCAAAATCCAGATTGGGGATTAGTTTTTCAATACTTTATTACCTATCACTAATATGATATAAAACTTACAATAACATGGTATAAAACTTAAAAGTAAAATATTTAGTAGCTTTTCCCAA